TCGATGCACCATATTGCGTCGCACGCTGCCTCCAGAATCGAGCAGATGGATTTGACCCGATGTACGACAATCACTGACCAAGGCTTCCAATACTGGGGAAATGCCCAATTTATCAATTTGCGCAAACTCAACTTGGCGGACTGCACTTATCTCACCGACAATGCCATTGTCTACCTAACCAACGCAGCCAAACAGCTACAAGAACTGGATTTGGTAAGCTCATCACCATTCAGGAGCTATCTTGCAGAACCGCTGACCGTGACCAGTCGTTTTGCTGCGCTTTGTCAGACACAGCGACAGAAGTTCTCGCACTCCAATGCTCGCAGTTGACCTATCTCAACATGTCGTTCTGCGGGTCCGCGATCTCGGACCCTTCCTTGCGCAGCATTGGACTCCACCTTCTAAATCTCAAACGGCTATCAGTCCGTGGCTGCGTCCGGGTCACGGGTGTGGGCGTTGAAGCGGTCGCAGAGGGCTGCAATCAGCTGGAGTCGTTTGATGTCAGTCAGTGCAAAAACCTCCTTCCGTGGCTCGAAGACGGCGGACCCCTCAGATACAAAGGCAAAATCGCCTTCGAGACCGTTGCGCAGAATGGACGAGTGTTTCGATAACCGCCATCGCAATTGTGGCCCGTTTCTTGTACATCCTCTCATCTTTGCGACCTTATCATCCACGGCTCTGCTCACTTTGATGATACTTCCTAATCCTTGAATGGGCATATGTTGCCCGGGAAATATCTATTATCTAATGCCTTATTCACCCTCGCATTCGTGGATCTAACCATCTTCCAACATTCCATCTACCACCTCATCTCATACGATTTCACTATCAGATTGCACGATTTCTTTTCATCTGGATGCTCGACCATTTTCTTCGATTCCCCTATGTGCCACAAACAGTAACCGTACTGGAACCGTTCTATCAAGTATATACAATTATCAGCATCGCCCACGGTTTCCTTGGTTCGTTTGCAATTCTCCATTTCATTGCCTTTACACTAGGACTCATTCTTTTAATTCTGTATGGGCTGCATAGGACTCCGGCGTGGGAGGAGTTTGATTGAGGGAAGAGCGTTTGGCAGCATTTTTCTTCAAAGGGTTGGATTAGTGACAAAGTTCGTGTCATGTTTGATGATATTGTCACTTCAGGGCCTTCTTGTTGTAACTTAGAATGCTGTTTTTTGACTTCCATTTTTGGAGCTACGAACGGATAAATAGACGAATCTCAAACTTGCGTCTGCTTTCATGCTTCTTGAAGATCCCCTGGTTCTTGGTTTCAGCATATTCTTTGTTCTTTTGATCACCAGAACTTCATTGCGTTTTACCGACACAACATCGTCTCTCATAACCTCTTTGTGCCAGTGCAAGCCAAGACAAAGGAAGGAAAATTGGAAAGTAAGTCAGGGCCCATTCAATGCTATTCTTTCAACTTCGACTTGTCACTGATGCAATTCAGGTTCAAAACAATGTAACCCTTTTGAGACTGCCCTTGCTTGGAGAGGGCGATAAGTCTCACAAATGCTTCTTGTGCTTCATCGCCTTTCAATAAAAATCTTTCAATGTGACGACCAAACGTCTTTGGCACATTGTGAAGCTTGCAGGTCGAACCAGCAAAACCGAAGTCTATTTCTGGCTCTACCATCTTCAATGACGGATTCTGAATGACCCAATCCCTTTGTGCAGTTTGACATTGTATGCTTCAGAATGCTTTGTTGCTACTGTATCTGAAGAAGTGCCGACAATGAAGCCAATTCTTGGATTGCATAGCAGAACCCGTCAAGATGAGGTATAAGTACAGCTTTCTCTTTCTGCATCTGGGAGTCTCCAACAGAAATCAGTCCTTAATTGCAGTCAGCTATCGTCTCACTCACTTCCTTTCGCTGCTTTATCCGCTCAGGACCGACTCGAATACCGCTCCTTCCACGACCTTTGCACCAAGCGGATCTCCTAGCAGTAAGTACACCAAGACAAGATGTCTGGGAGAAAGCGGAGAATTGACGATGTCGACAACAGCGACGATGACAACCGGAAAAAACAAGCACGAGATTCAAACCTAGGCAGTGGAGCGAACAGCGGACGGCCCTCTTCAGCGTTGAACGCTGAAGCTGTTGCCAAAGCTCCGAACACGACAGCTGCCGTTCCTAGCCAGACTGTGAGTGGTGAGGCCCTTAGTACCAAAACTGCTCCCGCAGAAGCTGAGCAAAGCAGAGATAAAGGGAAACAGCGGCTAGAACAAGTGGAGGAAGCTAAAGAAGCCGCAGGGGGAATCTCGGTCGACAACAAAGAGTCCACTGCAGGACCTTCGACTGAACCAAGCAAACAGGCCCGGGTGAAAAAGCAGCGTCGCAAAAAGACCGACCCAGTGCCAGACCCCGTGGAGACGGCTCTCAGCAGGATTGAGAAGAATCCTCCCAAACGTACCGACAGAGCCTGTGACAATTGCAGAGTAAGTGATCAATAACCCCTTCCTCCTTCTGTCTTTTCAGTCTTTCGCTACAACGCATGGAATAGATGAGTACGCAAACGGATACCGTGAGTGGGCTCCTCTTTCAATTTTCCTCGTGCTATTTTTCTGAGCTGCATTCCTCCTATTGCCCAGTTTTCTACTACATAGAGACTAACGACTGTCTTCTGTTCAGATTCAAAAGTTGAAGTGCGATAACCAGCCCGATGGCTGCGCACAATGTGTGAAAAAGGGTATGCCCTGCACATTGACTCTAGCAACCCAGAAGACCTATGTTCGGGGAGCTCCCCAGGAGACTGGACAGGCCAGAGATGGGTTGAATCTTGAGGTTGAAAGGCTCCGCGCAGATGTTGACTTTCTTCTGCAAGAAGTGCACTTGCTCCGGCGAGATGTCCAGCAGCTACAACTGGAGAATATGCAGTTACGTAATGTGCTGGCTGGCCTTCAGACATCCTTTCCTAACCGGAATGTGAGTAACAACTCTTCTAACATATACCATTCTGTTATGCTATCGAACAGTTAGTGAGACGTGCAGATGCTGACTTGAGACTAGCAATTTCCTCGGGAACCTCCACCGGCTGGGCAAGTGCCTCCCCAAGCCCCCTACGATGTGCATGCTCAAGCCCAAGCGGCAGGGCAAGGAGCTGGCCGCATGCCGCGTTTTGCAAACCTTCCTCCGCCCGAACAGGGAACACTCTATCCCAGGCTTCCCGCAAACCCTTCTCTGGCAGGGCAAGGAGCTGGCCAAACGCCGCTTTTTGCAAACTTTCCTCCGGCAGGACAGGGAACACTCTATTCCGCACGTCCCTCAGAACCTTTTCCGGTAGGACAGGGAGCAGGCAATCCCGCACCTCCTTCAGACTTTCGCCTGGTGAGACCAGGCCGTCTCAACTTTCCACCTGGTGCGAACCTTCCTCCAGTAATACAAGAACCTGCCAATTTCCTACCTGCTCCAAGAACCCCTTCGCCGGAGCAAGGCTCTTCCTCCGATCAATCCAGCGGTAGTAGTCCTTACCGGACATCTTCTGAGGCGAGCGCAGACAATGATAACACCAACTACGGTGCTACTAACAATGATCCAGCTTTCACTAACCAGGTTTTTCCCCCAATGACCGAGCAGGATGGTGGCCAACCAGCACTGGAAGCACAGCAACCTGGTTACCAGGACACTATGGCCGATGACACTGAGATGGCTCTCGATGATGATGATCTCGAAGGGTTTGTAGCTCAACCAGCCGATCCGAACGACTTGGATGACTTCATCAACGCCATTGGTGGTGACAATGGTGACAACGGTGACAATGGTAACAATGATTGGGATTCCATAGACTTGTTAATGATACCTGCTGACAGAAATCGTCTCGCGGCCTTCACCAATCAGCCGTCCGATCCCAGTGCTGCCAATACTGCGGGCCCAGCGACAGACCCCTTTACAATTGACCCTGCACAACTTACCTTGCAACCAGGTGATTACCCGCAGGTTGCACGTCCAACTACGACACTGGCAATGGCAGATGTTCCAGGGGATTCACAAAATGGGAGAGACAATGACGGTCCTCAGCAGAACTAACCAACTGCTCTTGAAAATACGGACAGCAAGACGAAGCAGCACAACTTATATGTGTTCCCGAATGCTGAGCAAGCCGGCGTTAGTGTTCGGCGACGCCAACAATGTTCAAGGTGTCTTGGCCATTTGGAATGCTGTACTGCATGGTGATATTTTTTTGCACTTCATCTTCTTACCCTTTTAGTTGACTCTGAATTTAGCTGCGTCGCATATCCTTTACCCTTTTGCTTAGATATGGTTGGCATTTGTTGACCGACAATGAGGGGGCTGCCCCTGATTCTGTCTCGCTTTTAGATATGTCATTCATTCATTGTTCAGGACCAGAATCGTTAGGTAATCCTAATGTGATTGACGATGCTATTTGCTTATAGTGTGGTGATAGTTACATGACACGTCTCATCTGCATCCTGTCCTTCCTATTCTGGAAATCCTCGGGAGTCCCCAAGTACATCTGGTCTCCCGTGACATTACCGTCCGTCGATATTGGCCTCCACTGTCTGCCAGGAGCGTACACAATACGCACTTCAATCCTGACTGTCAAACGCAACTGAAGGAACTTTTCCTGAGAAATAACCAGCCACAGCAACTTCTTTAGATAAACAACAAATAAGGCCAGCTTCCAGGAGTCAATGATTTAAAGTGCTTTACACTGTTGACATATGTACCACTCCTTGCTTGCTGCTGTTGAGGAAATGCACCGATCACTTAGTACACATATCTCAATCAAAAGCAAAATTACCATATCACAAAACGCTCCCAAAGACTGAATATCTACCACAAGCGAAGACGGTCGCTGTTCATCCATCCAATCTGTATCCACCAGGAAATCTCCATCACAAACTGATCTACTACTAGGCAACCCACATCCACGTCATCTCCCCTGAGGACAAAGGACTGCTCCTGAGGGTTCACTCCACTCTCGCACCATCACGACTTCTATACATAGAAAGCAACGCATCACTTTGAAGATCAACGCAGGTGGCACATGTACATATAAACCCGTTCCACTTGAGCGAACATTGATCGAAGCCCAAGTCCTCAAAAGCACACACTCCTTCCTGACACGCTTAACTACTATCTTACACTCATTCAACCACCGAACTCAATTCATTCATTCTTTTCTTTTGATCCCAAGCATCCAAACACCATGAGATTCACGTTCTTTGCTGCTCTCGCCCTCCTCGGCACTGCTTTTGCGGCTCCTGCGCCTACTACCTCTACAGCTACTGTATGCGAGGCTGGAAGCCATGCTTGATTTATTGGATTGAGAAAGATTGCTGATGTGGTGGTATAGATCCCGGCTGGTCAAACCTGCAAGAAGGACGGAAGTATGGGCGTCTGCCAGAGCGGATACTGCTTGGTGAGTTACTCTACGTTCTCAGCTTTCAGGGGGCCTGAAGGCGAATACTAATATTTGCGGGATGGTGCAGCAAGATGAGAGGGCCTCTTCTGGAGTTTGCAGGTGAAATAAAGGAATCCCCCGAAACAACGAGCTGCTTATAAGGAAGGCGTTATATATACCTTTTCAGAAGGCTGAAGCCATGTACTTTTAATCTATTTGAATTTAATTTGCCCAAATCCATTACCCCCATGGACATGATCTATTTCTTATCGTTACCGAGAGGATCTAGTATAATTGAATCTATAAAAAATGACACGACGCCCACTTATGCTCCAGCTAATCCCAGGGGTATCTTCCCAATCGCTATATAGAAGTATAAAGAGACCAAAACTCCAGATCAATATGCCTCTAACCGATGATGCGCAAACGAGAAAATATCTTCAGTGTTTGCCTCATAGCAGACGATGCCTACCGTTCGGACCGTCTACTATTCTTCCGGAAACCGCAGCAGATGCCGTTGCTCTCACACCACTGCCTCACAAACTCTGCACTAACTTCTCTGTCCTCATGGATAAGTCCCAGTCCCTCGATGTTGAGCCAGGTGGCAAAATCCTCTAGGATGATGGGATCGTACATCAAGATTTTCTCATGCCAGCTAGGGCGCTTACAGTCAACGGAGAACGACCGTGGCTGCAATCGCACAGCCTTGGTTATCTGGCTGGCCAGATCTGGCAGACTAGACTCTCCTGCAAGACCAGAAGGAGACGGTTTGGCGCCGGAGTCAGCATTTGTCCGCGTCGGACTGGATGGCGTGGATGGCGTAGCTGCAACAGGCAGAGGCTGACTGCTCCTGCTTTCTGAAATATGGCGCTTGTAACGACTCTGCAGCCGACTGGGAGATGGTATGACCTCATCTTCCGAATCCTCAATTTCCTCCACATCCGCGAACGACGACTTCGTCAACACCTGACTCGATCCGTCAGCGGCGTGACTCGGTTTATCCTCCAGAGCTGTGCTCGATTTCGCCTCTTCTTTGAGACATGCACTCTGCTTCCTCGTCTTTTCAGCTGCATCCGTTTTCGAGGCTTGCTTGTTTGTCTGAGATTGAATTGTGCAAGCCTCTCCCGTCGAGCCGTCGTCTGGTTTTCCTGGAACATCTTGGACACCGGTCCGCGTGCTCACGTGTTGTGCCTTCCAGCATCTTTCAAGCACTTCAATCATCTTCCTGCGACTCTTCATTGTCTTGAAACCATACAATCTGATTTCTTTTGACAAATCAGAGTCCTTCCAATCAGCGAATCGTGGCATCGGACGAATTTCCGACGCCCCGCAACCGGTTTCTCCCGGTTTAGTTTCGCTTGTTGCCAAGTTTTCCGTGTGTACATCGACTGTAGCCTCAACTTCATCAGTGATCTCTACAGGCCGGAAAGGTTCTCCCTGAGGCACTGTGTCCTCGTCTTTCTTTCCACTTCTGTCCGGTAGCTCGCCATTGGGTTTTGGCGGAAGCTCAGAAAGGTCGGTAATGTCTACCATATCCAGCACCTCAATTTCAGCAAGGGATCCATCCACATCTCTGGCTGCGACAGACCACAAATCTCTTGGAGTTTGGAAGCGCGATACTGCGGTATGAGAATACAGCCCAGACCCCGCCCTTGTGGTCGAAGAAGGCTTGCGGTTTTCAAGCATACTATTTTCCGATGCGAGTATTGCCTTTTGCATATCTCTGAGCATCGTTGGCGAGTCTTCCCGCTCCAACTGACTGCAGGTTCCGAACATCAAATCCTGATCCTTCAAGTAATCGACGGCATCCTCAGGAGGGAGAACACAAGAGTCGATGTCCAAGGATTTAGAGAACAATTTGTTGCTGACATCTTCTGAGGCTCTAATCATGGTGTTTGCTGCATCCGAGTGATCTGTACAATCATTGGTGTATAGGGCTGTTACACGGCCAGTAAGAGTTGTAATCTTTCTGCTTCTTTTCTTCGGCTTCCCTTCGGCTGCCGGGGCTTTCGAGGATCGAGTGCTGCGGACATTTGAACGGTTGCTATCAGCGTCCGGCGATGTCCGCTTAGAATTTGATGGGTTTCGAGTGTCTACAAGCTGCAGAAAGGTCAGAATGCGTTGCAGGCTGATGACAATCATAGAACACGTACCTCTAGTCGCCTGCGCTTCGTTGGAGCGCCGTCATCAGAAAGTTTCAAGTCACCTTGAGAATCGGTGGCGGCTTCCAAAAAGCCATATTCGGATAGAAGGTCGCCGAAGCGAGACTTATTGTCGCCAGTATCATCCAATGCGACGGCTTGCTTGCCAGTGTCCTTGGTAGGCGTCCAGTCTAGCCTTCTCTTCATAGCTACTTCAAGCTGTAAGCCATCCTTCTCCAACTCCAGTTTGTTCGCAGGACTTTTTCCCGGCGAAACGTCCGATGTCACAAGTTCCTTGATTTTATCTTCAGATTGTGTAGTCTCGGTAATGCCGGATTTCGCCACTTTCCCAGTGATCGTTTTGTTCTCGGACTTAGTGCGCTTATTCGCAGCGTCTGTGCGCTTTTTCTTTGACCCTGGGCCTTTCTTCGGTGTGCATCCATTGTGTTTCGGAATGGGAGGTTCAGAATAGTCAAAGAGTGTCTGTGACTCGTTCGTAAGTTGTTCTTTCATCCGTTTCTGTCTTCCTCCTCGAGTCGCCGTCTTTCTCCTCGATGCAGCCAGATCTTTCGGTTTCGTCCCTGTTTCAGACACTTCTTTCGCAGTCCTCGACGAGCCGTCGTTTCCATCTCCAGTTTTGAAAAACCGCGAGCGCGTGGGTGGTTGAAACAGCTCTGACGGAGAAGGCAAAGGCGAAGGGGATGAAAAGACCGGTGATAAGACAAACACCTTCTCCGGATCGCATTTTGGCTCTGCTAAAGAGCGAGAGGGAATCTGATCTGGCGAAGAAGAGAGAACGACTATGTCTGTAGCTGTATACATGGTGGCAAATGGGATCTGCGGCGAAGGACCGTACCCTGTCGGCAGGTCATTGGTCTGATATAGAGTCCAGAAAGATAATGTTTGTGGTGCTGTAAAGAGCAGCTCAGAAAATCATAGGTTAGTCCATTATTGAACCCGATGTCGTGAGCCTCGGAATGAATGAGAAGTGATAAAGCTGCAGGTTTGTCAAATGTCTTGGCGGTGCTGTGAAATTACCACTTTAGGTAGTATTGATTGGTGGGCCGGGCAACCTTGTCCCCTTATGGAAAAAGACGACCCCCGCAGCTACGAAACTACAGGGGCAACATAAAACTTCATGGAAAACTTCCGTATAACAATATGATTGAGATATAGTAAGAAGTTTGTTTCAGTTTCGAGAATAAGATATATTGTAGTCCATCGCAACATTAGTGAGCATTGACGGACTCCTCAGGTTCCCACATCAGTTGCGCGCAAATCGACGCCAGCACCCAGACACTCTGTCTTGGGTAGTGTGCAATACGAATTCATCATAAGGCCATATCCGGCGACAGGTAACCAGGGACGCCGCACTGAGATTGTCACCCCACTGCTTAGGGGGGCTGTGAAAGGGGAATGATCCTGAACAGCTTCGGACACGGTCATAGTGCGTTCACGCAGGTCTATCCAAGTGGCATGTAATTTTGCTCTTGTAAGATAGAGCATCGCATGAAGATCCCCGAAGGGAGGTCATAGTCGTTGAGACGGTAGGCTTTGGATCACGTTGCCCCACGCAGTGCAATTGCACCTATGAGCGAAAGTTCCAATCGTCGCTTCTCATCGTCCTGAGCGCCTAAAGCGCCCAATTTGTAGGCTTTCTTAATCTTCGAAACATCGGAGATTTCAGACAATGTCTCATCAGCGAATGGCATAGGAGAACCCTCGATGGACTGCTGCAGATGCGCCGCTACTGAGTCATGAGTAACATCTGCCGTAACGGAAACTTTCACCACCAACAGGTCTGTCGTCGAGTCTGTAATGCCGAATTTGCGGAAAGAGTCTGCAATCTGGTGTATTGTCAGTGATGTTCGTGAAAAGTAATCGCTCGTCCGTGCAATCTGGAAACGCACATTGTTGGCGGGGCTCAAGGAGAAGACGATTTCCGAATGGACGTTGCGCGACTTGAGACGCCCATTGAGATAATCATTAACCGCTCTGAAGATAGCAGAAAGGATATGGGTCCTTGAAAAGACCTTGTTTCATTTCAGTGTGCTTGTTCAAGTGCGTTTTTCTTATGTGGTCCATACCATGCTTGCGTCAATAAATGCATACTCGAAATCAGCATTGCCTGACAACAGCTGCTGCCGGAGAAATGGCGAGTTTTTCACATCACGATATAGAGCTATATGAATGGGCAGAGCTGAAGGCAGATGAGGAAGATGTATGGTCTCAAGGGACAGAGTCATGGCGCGTACTCCCGTCTGAAATGTTAATCGCAGATACCGAAATGTCGCAGCAGCCAACTCAAAAAATCTTTCTTTTCCTATTCTGCACTTTCTCAGCTACGGCCTCAGATTGACCATTTAAACAATCGCAATGATAACCAGTAACTCCGATTCCTCCGCGATACAATTTCTCCTGCTCTGTGCCCCTCCCCCACCATGTGAGCGTTAGTAAGCTATTGCCACGTGATTGCGCTTCTCGAACGTTCGGGTTCCCGTAGTGGATACCGCCGGAGGTTGCTGATATCACCAGCGCTTTGCTTTAAAACACCATCGTCATCTCTCCTGCTTTGAGCTATCACCGTCATTGTTCACCACCATAGCGCACGCCGTCATAGATTTGGGTCACACATTGCAGTCATGGCGTCCTTTCTAAGGCGCCCGTTCGCCGTTCCAACGGCTCTTCGTCAAGCCCCTAAGGCTGCGAACACCGCTCGCTTCATCCACAACTCACCCATCAAGCCCGTTCAGTCGAAGCCTCTGGGTCCCTGCTCGCCCTCAATCTTCGCACAGTCCAGACGGACCTTTCAGAATGCCTTCCGGCGCACCTACATGCAGCCGTCTTACGGTACAGCTCAGCGTGGCGACCTCGCCCAGCGCCTGCTCTACGGTGCGGCCATTGTGGGTGGCACTATCATGGCTACGAACTTCATCTTCAACCGTGAAACAAGAGAGGATGGCGGAATGCCTCACTACGAGCGAAGCTATCTGAATGAAACTTTTATGCACACCGGACTTGGTATTGGTATTATTGGTATCGCCGCTAGAGCTTTGCACATGAATGGATGGTCTTATCGTTTGATGGCCACCAACCCTTGGCTGGTTGCTGGTGTTGGTCTGGTTGCCAGCATGGGCACGATGTTCGGTACCTACTACACTTCTCCTGATAAGTAAGTTTTTCAAGTGCCTTTTCTTCTTTGTTGGGTGGTATGCTGACGGATACTTAGCTACGTAATGAAGTATGGTCTCTGGGCTGCCTTCAACGTCACTCAGGCTGCGCTCCTCTCCCCTCTAATGTTCATGCACCCTGCCCTGCTCGCTCGTGCCGGTCTTTACACTGTTGGCATGATGGGTTCGATTGCGTTCGTCGGTGCCACCGCGAAGCAGGAGAAGTACCTCTACCTAGGTGGTCCTCTCCTCGCTGGTGTGACCATCGTTGCCCTTTCCGGCTTGGCTCCCCTCGTTATTCCCGCCACTGCTGCACGTGCTCTGATGTGGTCCGAGAAGATCTGGTTGTACGGTGGTCTTGCTGTCTTCGGTGGCTTCACCCTTTATGACGTCCAGAAGATCCTGCACCACGCTCGCATGGCCGAACGAGGTCTTGTTCGCAAGGATGTCGTCAACGAGAGCATCAGTCTGGAGTTGGACTTCATCAACATCTTCGTCCGTATGGTGCAGATCTTGGCCATGCAGCGCAACAACCGGAAGTAAGCGTGATCTTGCTTTGAAGTGAAACACCGCACCTAGCCCGCACGGGTCCAGCCAAATAGTGCGAGGGAGTGTGGTGTCTTTTGACTCGGCATCTTCGAGAAATTTCGTTTGTCTGATAATAGGGTTACTGTTGTTTAAGAACTTGTTTTAAGGTGTATGGTTTTCGGGGAGTTTCTCTGCTTTTCGCACCGCTAACAGCCACGCATGGCATCTGGTCGGCATACTATATCCTTTCTCTAGATCGGGTGTAGAACGTTTTCACCACGAAGTTTACACATTTTGGTATAGCTAGAGATAGAGGAAAGACAATCTCCACTCATATCAAATGACAAAAGAAAAAGAGGAAAGCAATTTGCGAGCTACTCATTCTGCGAATTGTGGTATGCTTCCGAGCACGATTGGGCGTAAGAGGTTGCCTTGGATACAATCACACCTAGACTGATTTGAAAGATCGTATAACAAATGCCTTCAAAGTCAACTTTGAAAGGATGTAATAGGACTCAACACCATAATATCAAGTAAGTCAAACAACCGATTAACAGGAGGCTCAAGGTAGGCCAATTCGAGAGCCTGCCACCCGAGGACTGCATCGTATTCTTCTTCAGATTAAGATATGTCGTTCCATTCGACCTTCCAAATCCGCATAGACCACTTCCTTCCATCATGTCGGCGGGAAAAAGGACCCTAGGCTCGCCCTTATCCATGCTGACCTTGAGAAGACCCATGTCATTAACCGAGTAGTTGGCGCAATTAAGCACATCCATGACCACAAATCCAGGTTGGTAGCCTATTGGCATGTCCAGCTCATATTTGCCGCTGTTCGTGCCTTGTGTAGACAAGACCATCAGGAGTTGCCGGCCCTCGACGCCTTTGCGGAAGCCCATCTCGCTAGACCCTGTGTAGATGGGGAAGGTCTGTGAGTCTACATATGCTGGATCGATCTGGGCTGCATGCTTGCGGATCCTGTTCAGCTTCGTGGCTAGTTGGTAAAGCGGAGCGTTGGTGTCGTAGCCTGATAGCCACAAGGCTTCGCGGTTCTCGGGGTCATCGGCACCTGAGAAATGTTGTTCTTGCCCTTGGTAAATCATCGGTATGCCGTCGAACAGCATCGTGAATGTTAGAACATTCTTAGCGAGCTGCGCCAGTGTTAGCCTATCATCGGTTGATACTTGTCAGGGTAACTTGAGTCGATGCCTTACCGCGATGTCATCCTTGAAGCTTGCAAATCGCGCAACGTCGTGGTTTTCCGAGAACGAAGTAAGGGCCGTAACATCAGAACATGTCTGTTTCATGACCTCTACCTGATTTGTCAGAGAGCTTGTGTTGCCTTTCGTAAATGCCTCCAAGATGGAATAATAGATAGGATAATTCGGGACACTGGGGAGGTCATTTTGATATCCGCAGATCGTCTTCACGGATGGCTCAAAAACTTCGCCAGTAATGAAAGCGCCAGAAGCGTTATGGAACAAGGGCAGGAAACTTGGCGTAATATGCTTCGCTGCATCCAGACGTAGACCGTCGATTGAATACGTAGTCATCATTTTTCTAATCCAGTCCATAAGCAGGCTCTGAACTTGGCTATCTTCTGTCTTTAGATCTGGAAGGGGAACAACATCATCACCTGTCCAGCAAGTCTGCGCCAATGGATAGTTGTCATAGTCGGTGATCTTGCAATATGGATGGAAGAATATTGGGTCGTTGAATGGGCTGAGCGTTGAATAGTCAATGCTCGTTGCCGGATCTCGTCCGTTGGTGATGTACGCCAAGTTGTTGATGACAGTATCTACCATCAAATACATGCCGCGGTCATGAACAGCCTTGCTCAAGTCTAGCAGGTCCTGGTGAGTGCCAAAGTGTGGGTTTAGCGCATACATATCCTGGACCCAGTAGCCATGATAGGCTTCTCCGTACTGCACACGGCCCTCGGCATTCTGGACGATTGGGGAGATCATGATAGCGTCGAATCCCATTCCATGAATGTAGTCAAGGTGTTGAATTGTGCCTCTCCACGAACCACCGCAGCGTAGCCCTTCTGTGGTGTTGCATGGATGAGTGGTGGACCCATCCGTACGTGCAAATCTGTCTGTCATGGTCTGATAGATAGACCTGGACTTCCATGCACTTGTATCTGCAGCCAAGGATGACATGAGCAGGTCAAGCCCTGCAGTGATGCAAAGCAACTGCAGGATTCGCAACGAGTATGACATTGCAGTAGAGATTGCCGATTCAAGCAGGACAGGGCTGGGACGAGATAACAATGGAGTGAATGACAATGACGAAACGAAAGAATGCAGTAAGTAGAATCGAGGCTACAGGGCCGAGTCACTCGTCATGTAGCTGCTGAGGAATTCTTCATATGGATCAGTAGCCTGCTGAGCCCAGGAGATCGTAGGGCGGAATCAGTATCGGAACGATTGTAGCAGCCTCTTGTAGGAAGCAGTAACTCAAGATAAAAAGGAATGTATGGCCGAATCTTTCATTGACCGCGGCAGCAACCAGAGACAGGGATTAACGAAAGACGGTCCTAAATCGATACCATGGGAATGAAGCATCTACCAATGGCAGACGCAGTGCCAAAAGAGCGAATGCGTAATGTTCTGACTGAGAAGCAATGAGTGGATAAAAGAGAGATGTGATCAAAGCCTCATGTGAATTGTAAAGAGAGCGACTGAGATTGGGAGGGAAACATTGGACAGTAAGCTGAAGGTCATCTTTGGGAAGTAAAGAGTGGCAAGGCGAGGAGGAAGGGAGGAAATGGATCAAGGCAGGATGAGATCTGTGCCTTATGTTTTCCTGTATAGAGAGTTAAATTGCATCGCTACCCGCTCTTGAGTTCCAAGGTACAAGGAGACCTTCCATTCGCTGTTTAGCATCTGTCGTTTATTTGTACAGTCTTGAGTCAAATGGTTCTTCCCCCTGCATCCCTCCCTTTAGAGTCCCCTATCAACTGCATAAATTAACACGCTCGAGGAGAAAAGGGATATTCAGCCGAAATAGCTCATGGACTTTATATCAAACCACCACGCACAATCTCTATTTGTCAGCAAAGGTTAAATTGAAAGCAGACTGGCGCCAGACTGAAGATATGGGTGCTCTTTCAGGTTCCTTCGCAAGCAGACGTTGTCACCGAATACTCGAAAGGAGAGCATTTAGGCGTTTTTCACGAGGCTCATAGCATAGCTTCGCAAGATGTAAGCCCTCTAGCAGAACAGCTTGCGTGAACTGGGGCTACAACAGGTATTTTGCAACTCTGTAGACCAAAGCTATCAAATAGAAGACTACAAAAACATCAATCGTCAAGTCGTCGTACTAATATTGCAGGTTGTCTTACAGTCAGTTCAAAGCATGCAAGGGTGGCATCAACAAAGGGATGAAAGGGAGAGACACCGGCTCTTTCAATCATCTCCATGAAATCTTATACCACAGTGTCAGATAATCTCATGAATAAATGCATTATGAGCGTATGGCTTAAGTAGCTGAGCAGATCTAATATGCAAATGCGTGGAATCCTTGCGGTGGTTTGTCATGGGAAGCGTGACCGTTGTGGATCATTAGTTGGCTTCTGCCCCACCACCACTTATCTACATTTCCCATCCCACCATTCATCGATCAAAACCCTAAATCCAGATTTGGACGTTTTCTCAAAATGCAGATAAAATCCGTACTTCGGGTTACTCTGATGAGGACGGGTAATTTTACAACGGAAGGTTGTTCAATTGCTCCAAATATGGATTTCCCTGACTAGGGTTAAGGGAACATTATGCATTGTCATCCGGGGAGAGAGAACCATCGACATCGTTCATTTCAATTAACCACAGTAACATCCAAGATCGGGCTCAATCTGAATGTCCAAAGTTGAGCTCCTTCAAGGTCGTCAGATGACGTCTGCTCACTTTCCTCCTACGAGAATATTGACCAAAAAGGCACTGATAGCCCAAAACTCTCCTTGAGCCGTCCAATATTGTCGAGGTACATGCCGATTGAGACATCTGCGCAGTATTTGTGCCGTCAGGCGCTTCGCTCAGGAGACGACCGTGTCCACCGGTTTTGCTTCAGCTGCCTTGATTTCGTTTGATTCGGACTTCTCTGGCCACAGTTCGCTTTCAATGACTTTCCAGTTCAAGCCTGCTATTCCTGGAGCGCCGGCCATGTTTACCAGGAGGCACCACTGCTCTTTCGAAATCCTGTGGAAGGTGGCGAGAATGAGAGCCACCGTTTTCCACTCATGAATCCGTTTACCTGGCAGAAGGATTTCGATATTCTGGTCAGACCAGCCGCAGCAGTACACATCAGTGTACAGCTTGCTGTCTTCCATCGGCCTGAATCCGAAATGTTTCACCCTCATCCGCATCTTATGTCCTTTGACGGCACAGAGTGACTCTCTCACGCGGAGAGATAGCAAGAGCGAATTGTCGGCAAGGCCATGCATGTTGACGAAGTGGACGCTCTGCGCATCGATCTTCAGGTAAGTCACACGGAATGTTTTGCGAGTCTGAGAATCCTTAGTTATCTCTCGTATTATCATGGTGTGCAAGATCAAGTCGAAGAACACATCAAGCTCGGAATCGGGCTGATGTAGCTCGCGAGTTTGCTCGGATTCAGAACCACGCAGGAACATTTTGATGCTCGGTGGTTTTTCTGGAGGCTTCTTGGGCTTTGGTTGGCAAGCACAGTTTGGATCGTCGCTGATGTCCAAAAAGGGTAATCTGTCAGTGTTTCAACTAGGGACTCTGGCTACTTTGGGTTTGCAACTTACCATTGCATTTCGGTTCAAGCTTTGATGAATTGATGGGAAGTATGGCTGTTCCTCTTTCCAGAGGGATTCTGTGAGTCGAGGTGAGCACTGAAGAAAGGAAGAAACAGAGAGGTAGGAGCCAGTGACGCACTATGCTGCGCATCTGCTAAATAAACAGTGCCTGGCTTCATTCACTGTCCTCACGCACCAATACATCAGTGGATCCACCCTCAGGAGCGTACGGAACGTCCCGTTAATACTCATACCAGACATTTATTGCACCTGGTCATAGACTGCTGATACGCTTAGCTACCGTCTAAATCTACATGAACTGTGAAAGAGATTCCTTTGAAGAGGCTGAATCAATCATCACAGCTTCAGAAGGCCTATATAGACGGTAAAGGAAGTGTAAGTGCATAGGGACCTTAATATTAATCATGGAAACCATTACCTATAAAAGCTCTCTATCTCGCGCAGCATTGGTCTTACGAGGGCACACGTACTCATTGCGCGTGATGGTAGGTTGATACTCGAGACCAGACTTTGCCTCAACACAATACTCCAAATGATTTATCAATTGAAAAGATACTATCCTCATTGCCTTCAACTGCAGCCCATAGCTCAACTGGAGATTAGAAGTAGAATGCCATGGTTATGGTTACTGAAACCACAACCAACTACTTCAGAGAGTGTCTCTGCCGTGCTTCGCTTGGAGATCAGAATCCTGTAGCTTCTAGAGCCATCTCACAGCCTCGGATGCCTCTATTCATCCTGTATCCTCAATATTCATACTACAATTTACACTTGAAATTCGTTTGAAGAACTCGGTATCCTAGGCCTTCACAAAATGCTCTCTGAGAACTCTCCGGGGATCATGCCATAGTTGCTCAAAATGGGTAAACAATGCTAAAGTAAATGAGCCAGAGTCGACAACTGCGCACGTCTCGACTCTTCCTAAATTATTCGACTGTCATTATATGTTCTCTCTCAGGCTGAACGATATCGCGCGATTACATAATCATCTTACCATGGCGCCAAGCTTCCGCAATGTCAATTATCATGAATGCTGCATCGCCAGAAGCGTGCTCTTGTTCTCGTTCACAGTCCTCGCCTTTCAGTCTTCATTTACCCATCTTGAGACAACATTTCCTATATACAATCACTATGTCAACAGAAATGGAAGTCGACGTCCCGCAAGAGGAGATCTCTCAGGGACAATCTGGCGGCGGAGGTTCCGATCCTCGAACACAGGCGGGAGCCGTTGCAGTGCGCAGTATTGAAGGATGGATTATTATCGCAACCAACATTCACGAAGAGGCCTCCGAGGAAGATGTCACCGATCTTTTCGCTGAATATGGAGAAATCAAGAATTTCAGCCTGAATCTGGATCGCCGGACGGGTTATGTCAAGGTGAGCTGAGTCATACCTGCTCTGCACTTGGACCTTGCCGTTTCCTACGTCGTTTGTTTCCGTCTCCATGGAAGTTGCTGACATTGCAATTTTTCTACTAGGGCTACGCATTGATTGAATATTCTACCCTCCCCGAGGCATCTGAAGCCATCAAAGCCCTAAACGGAGCCAAACTGCTCGACCAGACAATCCATGTCGACTATGCGTTTGTACGGCCTCCTCCTTCCAACAAGGGCAAAGGCGGACCACCAAAGGGCGGCCGCGGTGGACGAGGTCGTAGCAGGAGCCGCGACAGAAGCCGCAGCCCGGAAGCTGATAACGCAAGAGATTAAGCATGGACATTGCGATAAAAGAGCCTTCGGTCGAGGCGCATCTTTTCTAGTCTGTGTTCTGATCAAACGGTTCGAGAATGACCAGACGATCTTGGACACAGCACGTGTAGCTGCTGGTTGGGTTGTCCCTAATGAGTGCTGGGGGCACATGAAAGTTCATTGTGCTTATATCGCCGGCAGCATATCTTCCGAGTCAACGCGCTATTTGGGACTGTGATCTGTCCTTAGCCCGGGGAGATAGTTGTCGGCACTGTCACTTATTTGCAGAATGGTAAATATTCGCTCCTCCGGATTATCTCCAGTGCTGCTTGCTAATGCTCAGACAAGAAGATGCGGCAGGAATGGCATTCAACCAACGAGATATCCCATACTCTTCTGCTAGGAATTTCCTCGAATTTTTCGTATAATTGAGCGTCTCATGTAATGCGTATCTGATGAGAATTAACGATATCAATCATCGCCTGGGTGGGGGACTATCTAGTCTGTCACTTTCCACACCAATTTCGTACTGAGGTAGAGGTCAGCCAGAATAAACAACGTAGCAAATATTAGGTATGAAGTTGCAGTCACTGTGCGCAAGTATTGTCACAAGACAAATTGCCCTGCTGGGCCATAGCGATATCCTCCATCAGGCTGTCTACAGATTGGCCGCGTGATTGTCTTTAGATGACAAGCCACCGAGTGGGGGATTCTCCAGTATTGCAGCCATGGCACAAGCAATCTGTACTGTTTGACGACTAGCAAGAGAGAGTTAACATGTCGTAGGCTCAGTTTCGAGTCATCTTGGACCCTGAGATGCTAAATGTAGACACCAAGCGTGGGTCAGCTGGACCGGATTCGTCCTGCTGGAGGAGTGAGGAGCCAAAACCTGGAAGCCGCACGACGGAGATTTCCCCGCAATCCAATCAATCATCTTATCATCAGAGAACCTCCCTCCCATGCTGCGAGTCCACAGCCATCGACATCTCGTTCCAGTGATACTACTGCACGGCATGGCATGACATATTTCTTATTGTCCTCGATTGGTCGCAGGTCGCCTTTTGTGGTCTCCATCGTCTCCTCTGTCTATAGACTCCGCATATACTCTCTTTGATTCACTGAGTTCCACCGCTGACCGCGAGACTGCTGCTTATCGATCCTTCAAGCATTCTGTCGATGACGGAGGTGCAACTCAGGCAATATGATATTACCTATATCATTATTCCTATACCTTTGCGTTCTATTTATACAATCTGGGGCCATTGCGCTGGCGCAAATGCCTCAGGACGTCCTTTCCCCGCAGCGACCATTTCCGCAGGAGTCAACGGTGCCCGGGATATCTTCTGAAGAATGGCCTTTGGCGCCCCCAGGTCTGATTGGAGAGACAGGAGACTCCATTCGAAGCACGCTGGGGGATCTTGTGGATGCCTTGAAGGTAATGCAAAAGGAGTACTTTGAGTTGTGGCAGGGAAAATGGCCGACTGCGATTGACTGGACGGCTGCTGTCCTGGGGACTCATGTCTCCGCTACCCTCTCGTCGCTCACTTCCACCGTGGGCGATGTTCTGCTCTCGACTCTTTCCGCAGACACCGAAGACGCTGAGGGAGAATCCCAGTCCGCCATTCCGCGCTCATTGGCGTTCGAGAACTTTATCAACCACTTCTTCGGCCAGTCCGCTGCATTCTACTACGGTGAAGATGCGATTTCTCTGAGAGGGCAAGCTTATGACGACATGCTATGGGTCGTATTGGAATGGCTGGAGAATATCAAGTTTCAGGTTCTACATTCCGAGTTGCATTACGATCGGTCGAACGCAAGCACGAAGCATCGCTGGCATGGAGTTCAGTTTCAGATTCCAGCGGCTCATCGAGCGCGACTCTTCCACGAGCTTGCGTCCAGTGGATGGGACCGTTCGCTCTGCGGGGGCGGAATGATCTGGAGTCCGTATCTCGGTCCTTACAAGAACGCAATCACGAACGAGCTCCACATATCTGCCAGCATTGGCATGTATCTTTACCATCCTGGAGATGTAATCAGTTCGCCCTTCGCTTCGGCCTCAGCAACTAGCGAATTTGCGTCAGATGGATACCCCCACAATCCCGCTCATCTGCAAGCTGCCATCGAGGGTTACAAGTGGCTCAAGTCCTCGAACATGATAGGCATCGGTGGCCTGTATGCTGACGGGTTTCACATTAGCGGCTGGCGGAGCGAAACACAACCTGGTACGCGCAGATGTGACGTTCTCAATCCCATGGTATACACGTACAACCAGGGAGTCATTCTCAGCGGACTCAGGGGCCTCTGGCTTGCAACCGCATCACAGGATTACCTGCAAGACGGGCATGATCTCGTTCGGAAGGTCATCCGTGCTACCGGATGGCCCAACAAGGATGACAGAGAGTGGGCTGGTCTTGGCCGCGGTGGCGTGCTTGAAGACGCCTGCGACTCCTCTGGCAGCTGCTCGCAGGACGGGCAAACTTTCAAGGGTATATTCTTCCATCATCTCACAGAATTCTGCCGGCCTATATATCCGCAGGAGGAGAGATTCTTGGCCGCTGCGAACCGGACGTCGGAAGGAGAGGACGATGATTGGGAGCATGTCTATAAGTGGCATTTTGCCAGATGCCGGGCCTATCGACCCTGGATCGAGCACAACGCCAATGCTGCCCTTCTTACAAGGAATGACGACGGCAAGTTTGGCACGTGGTGGGGCAGACGATATCGTGTCCTGGATGATGCTATTCTCGATCAAAGTCCTTTGCCTCCTGGCGCGGTCGATTATAAGAATTACGGCAATAGAGGCGAAGAGTGGTCCAACGAGCAAACTGGTGCGCTGCGTGGCCGTCCGTCCTGGACCGCTAGCAGCGCGGAGAAGCCAGAGTCCTCGGATCAACGACGGGGATCGAGAGAGACATGGATTTGGACGAACAGGCCGACGTTGGCCGAGGTCAGGTCGATGGACTATAATGACCGAGGACGAGGACGTACTGTTGAAACGCAGTCAGGCGGCATCGCTGTGTTGCGCGCTCTGTATCAGTGGAAAACGACTGCATCGTTGTCGTAGCCAGGACTGCTAGTTAGCAATTGTTTTAGTGAATACGCCCATTTGAGACTCGGGATTTTTTCTCCAACATCCTGTCCATTAGTTGTCCGACAGGGCTAGAAGTGATGTCTGCTACATGTAGTTGATCAGAAAGGAGACACGGTTACATTAAGTATTCAGGGACTTGATTATCTGGTTGATCAATTGATTTAGGACGATGACAAGCCAAGACGAGACCAATGGACTGGACCGACATGCCGAAGCAGATGAGATAAGGTACAGTCCCTGCGAGCTCTCAAGCTATCCTGTCTCATAATCTGCACGGTCGACTGAACGCGTACCATTTGTATCCCAACCAGGAGTCGACCATCAATAATATGGCTATACGAAAGGTCATGTTAGACATGCAGAATCCCTGATAGCTCCAGTTAAAAGCAAACATGACGGACCCTAGGCACCCCTTCGTTACATCCTGGCGCTGTCCTGCATCAAGCAAACAGTGACGCTTTTTTAATGGACATGGATGTTATCCAACCCCCTCGTCCTCAGACCCACGGCCGCACCCACCGCGCACTCATACCACGGTAGTGATGTGCATCTTGTTAGTGAAGCTGCGAATAGCAGCTGCAATATGCTCACTTGACAGACGATTGATTTGGTTAGATGGTCTGTGATTGGATCAATGGTCTTCCGAGGAAGAGGTCAGTAATCCAACAAACCACATACCTACCTAGTACCTAGGTAAGCTTGACCATGCATCCATAATACAGATTAGCGCTTACAGCTAGTTAGACTACTGATGGGGAGGGGTGGGGGACGTCCTTGAATGGTGAAGCCTCAGCCGTAGCGTTGACCTCGTGAAGAGGAACGAGGTTTTCCCTTATCCACAGCATGATCGGGTGTGCTATCCCGCCAGACATGGGACGGGCTGGCTGCGGAGTTGGCTCAGGCCCAGGTTACGGGTGGAATCATTGACCGCTGCTTTCTTTTCTGGCGTCATGACCATGATGGAACAGCCATTCTGGCAATGACCGGTTTACCGAGTTGGTAGTTCTGATCTGCGGATGGAGAGATTCAGGGCGGAACGTCCAGTGTCCACATGAGGAGAACCAGAGTTACGTGACTGAGGACTTAGATAACGCCAAGTCAGAGCCTAGGATACTTTTGTGGCCGTGAGGCTTGCAGCCGCATGGCACTAGAAATGTGGGCGGCGCAGGGAGGGGAAGCCGTTAAGCTGTCTCAGAGTCTCTATCTAATAGCTATCTATCTACTCCGTAGTAGATATCCAACGAGGCTTGTCAGTCTGATTGCTTATGCCAAGGGTGATATTTAACCTTTTATGACGACAACGGAGATGATGATGACGGTGGTGAAGAGCAGTCTCGTATTCCTTCGGGCTTTTTGGCGAGGACTGTGATGCCTCGCAATAGAAGCTTCAGGAAGGAACCGTGGACACTGGACATTGCACAGCAGACTGGTACGGAGCAGAATAGACACGGGAAAGAGTCGCCTTCTTCCAAAGGAATTCAAATTGGAGAACCAGCGGATTGAGAGGAAGAACGGATGCCCACCTGGCGGGTGGAGGAACAAATCACCTGTAAGCGAGCAAGTGACGATCAGCAGTTCTCTATCGTGATATTCAGGATCGGCTGCCAGAGTTCTACTTACAGACCAACCCTTTTTGGACTCGATTTTCCGATGGCTTTCCGTGATTGAGATGATGGCCAACTCTGCAGAGGTAACCAAGAAACATTTAGGAGTTTATGTGATTCTGCAAAATGTCTATATAGGCCTTTCTGGCAGGATGATGAGATTTTTATCTGGACAATAATAACCACCTCATGCTTGCCCTTGTACTAAGGCAGGTAAAGATACATTCGTCACAAATAATCGTAATTAAAGGAGGTCCTAACAAATACCCTAACAAATGGGCAGCACTTCAATGTTTGTTGTGGAGGTGAATAATAATACTACCACCAATAAAAAATTAGAGATAAACGGGACCCTAGTACATAACCCCTGTCCTTTAAGTGGGCTCCATAACAGTCACGCGGTAAACTACTGCTGGTACCCTTACATACTCCATACATCCATGGGTACTTAGGTACCTAAGGTGAAGGTACCTAGCGGAGCTATCTCAAGAATTTCAGCCGGTTGTGCACTGCAAGACTGACTTGACTTTGGACAGAATAATAATATGGATAAACTGCAAGAGACAAGGCAGGTATCTACACTAGTGGTAGGGAATAGTTCTGACTGACTTCTTTGATAGTAGTTGCAAATATTAATGATCACCATGAGGGAACATCATCCCCCAAACGTCAAATTTAGGCAAATAGTAATACCTAATACCCATTTATCAGACGGATCCAAACTTCATGACCATATCATTTTGTTGATTGAAGAACAGACTTGACAACTGGCAAGAATTATCTCCATAGGATCATCCAATATCCATAAATCCATCAATCCATAGTCGCACCTTCAGCAGGTCACAAGCCACCTTCACGGACGGGGGATAACGCATGCGACCTGGCGCTGATAGCCTGATGCGGGGGGGTCGAGGAACATATTCAACTGGTCCGTTGGGTTTTAACACTCGGCCGGAGGAACAGGACAGACACTCTTGTAAGTTGCATACCAGGGCTACCGACTGACATAGGTTAATCATGTTACCACTTTACATCAGTATTTCCATAGCGGGACGATGTTTACAAGCGATGATACCTACATCTGTCGTTTTGAAATGGCGCGATGCAATTGTCCGCTGACTCCAAGGTGGACTGAATGCAATATGTACCTACCTAAGGAGCCCAACTTGATATCAAAAAAAGAATCTACAGCAAATCTAGTGTTTTTGATTTATTCTAACTAACTTAGGATGTCGATGTTGTTTGATAATCTGAGTGCGCAAGTCCCTCATTTTTGTTACCGTACGATTACCCACCCATAAAGCCAAGTCAAGCAGACCCATTGGGCTATTTAACCCTCGAGCAGCGGAAGGCATCCGGCTCCAATCATGCAGAGTAGCACAACGTCCTTTGCTTCCCTCCGTCGAAACACCTTACTGACACGAAACCTTAGCCTCGAAGGATGTGAACAAGAGCTGTCGAATTTGGCCGTTGATCCATTTCGAACATTCCTGATTGGACTGGGTGATATTACCACCTACCAACTGCTCACCATAACCCTCTCAAGTTTCTTCCCTCGACTTGATGACTCGAGTCCTCCGTCCATGGCAAACCAGGACCCATCACTGTTGTGATTCGTGCTGTGGTCCTCCCAAAGCGCTAAATCAAAAGGGATACATTCACGGACATGATTTACAGTACAATGACGTGATTGCCGTCATGGCGCCGATAGTTGCCCTAAAAAGGTGAGAAATGGTGGACTTTCCCAGCAGCAACTTCAGCCCACCGCAAGGGGGCTGTTCTTCGCACAGTACACTTACCGGAGTAGTTAGACTAGTTGACTCCCAGTACATGGAAGAGTTGGAGAAAATTCTCTTTACCTTCCCAAAAAGAAATCCTTCGTTCGTCGGAGATTTAGTCGCCCTGTTACATTTTTCTTGTGTTCTCTATTCTCCATACTTGCTTTTTTGGTGGTCCTTTTTTCTTCATTGTTTGATCAATGATAAGAAAGGCACAAGGCACACGCTGCTTACTCCTCAATGTTGTTGGTCCACCACGGCGGTTGAGATGGGGGTTTCATTTTCGAGTACAGTTCCTTTCGCACCGATGCCGCAGTAGCTAAGAGTTAGAAGGCAATAAAGCATGCTGTTGGTACGGAGCATTATTAGCAGTATGACAAAGTATCAATAATATTATTACATGCTGCACCTGCATGGCCAATCTAAATGTCAGATTTCAAACTTCAATCAGCGACACCCGTATATGTTGGGTAGAGTCGTGATACAAGGCCGAATTATGATGTTTTAATCTTCAGATACCCTCAACTGCATACAGCAGTAATTTCTGTTTGTCTGTCTTTATTAGCCATTCCTATACAGAGACACTGGGATTATACATAGAGAATGACGATGATGGTTTGTGTTAAACTGTAGAGTGTAGAATTAGATGTAGATAGACTGTCAAGTGGTTCGATCCGAGTGGAGCGAATGCTTCCGACATGATCGGCGTGCTGTACATCCCTGCCGGTTTCACCTCCCTAGTAAGGCGCAGCCATGGTTCCGTCAGAAAAATTGTCGAACCCACGGGAATGGATCATCCCTCTTGCTCTCAAACGGTTTGTGATTCGGTAGAACATCACTTTTCATCCATGACTGAACACGATGATGTACAGTTAGACTGCAGCATAGCACAGTTTCGACGCCGTGAACCCGAGTAGGCTGTTTGGATTCTCTTGGTCCTCATACTCATCGCTCGATCTTGACACTGTTCTTTGAATCGCTCGTTACTATTGAGCATGCTTTTCGGAGCTCCAGAGTACATCTGACTGACAATATCTTGCCGTGACTCGATCGTCATTGAATGGCCTTGTCCCTCGAGGGCCCCATTGGACTCATTAGTATTACAATGGAATAAAGGAGTTAGTTTCACCCCACCGATATGGCTGCGAAGACTTAGTAGCATTCCTGTTCTTCCCCGGTTTCCCACTCGGCTACAGTGGCAATATGAACATGACCAGGTTACCCGAAGTCAAGACTTGCTACAGCTGATCTAGTGATCTACCCGAGTGGTTCTTTTTTTCGAAGAACTTTCGTCATGGTGGCGGTCATTGAGATAATCCTTCAGCGTCGGTAAATCATGTTCCCTGGTATATGCGATCATCCAGTCGATATACATCTTCATGGCATGTAATTGCTTCGTTTTTCCTACGAAAGGAAACTCGCGTTGGATTGTGACGATCATCCTCATTCCTCCGAGAGCCAACCACTTTGAGTAGTGGTACAAGACTGCAATTACTTACCTAGGGACGGAGTTGTAGTCATTACGCCCCTTCTTTGCCTCTAGGGGGTAGACTAGGTTAACGCTAACCGTTCTGGCACTAAGGGTAATGATTGACCGAGCTGTTTTGCTGGGAAAACTCACTAAAACCAGACTAAATGAGACTAAATCGAATAGGTGGGAATAGGTGGTTGAAAAGAGGAACCCACTAATACTATGACCAGCCGCCCCCGCTAAATCCACTGGAACCACACCAAACGGGGCGCCTCTTCACCGAAATTCCAACTGCCCTTGACCCTGTATCCGTATGCGCGTATGACCATGTTGGATTCACTACCTCCTTTTAGCGGTATCAAACGCCGTGGGTCTAACGATAAAAGAATGCTAAAATCAAATGGCGGCCACGAGCCTTCCAGCCTCTAACTTTATCTGGTTAGACACTTATAACTAACAAAACTACCAATATCAGATTTTAATTACTCCTTCACGCCAAAAGTACCACTCCTAAGGTACTCCATAGGTACAGAGTTTCTACACTAGGACAGGTGTACGTACCTCCTACGTAGGTGCTCCGTCCTCCGTGGGTTGATATCCATACTCCTACTGAGGAGCAGGCAGGCCAGGAGAATATTATTTGTTATCTTGTTGTTCCAGCAGTTTTTTAAAATCATTATTTCATTTTATATTTTATTTAATATTTAATATTAAAATATTGGTAATTATTTTACCAGTTACTCTGTACAAAGCACCTTCTCTACCCAGCTACCACACTTCTGCTTCCTCCTTCTTGATACTTACCAGCAGTAATCATAATTTAATATGACTCCAATGAACACTACTACTACCTTACAAACTGCTAACTAGCTTCCATTACGGAGTACCTCCTCTTCCTACTCACCAAGTAGTCTACCAGACAACTCACTATCTGCCTACCTGCTCCGTACCAACCTGCCAGCTACTCCTACTCCATACCTAGAGTACTGTCAATCATTTTGATTCTTTTTTCTTCTTTTTCTCTCCCTCCTTCTCTTCTTACTACACTCCTCCTGCGGCCTTCCTACTTACTCTGAAACTATTTTTCTCTTCGTTTCCTCAGATTATCTCCCCGCCGTTGTTGTTTTCGACATTCCCGCCAACGTACTTCACACCGTCCACCTTCTACCTCCTATCCACCCGTTTTCGGACTGCGACCGGGGCCCATTTCCACAAGCGCTTTTTGAACGCATCAAAAACTGGGAACAGACTGAAAGAGAAGGAGGAATCGCTGGATTGACGATCGACTCAGAGAACAAACACTCTGAATTTTTTCTATCCCGAGTTTCGGAAGCTCAACATCTTTCGCTTACCCGATAACGCTCTCCCGAAACTCTCCCTGTCCATTTCTCCTGACTCGTTCCTGGGGTCACAACTCTCCTACTATTCAGCGTCTTTTCTTCCTTCTGTAGCATTGGACTTCACTCAATTCTCAATCTGTTCATTATAAAGATTGCAGAAGGTCTCCGCTACTACTTTCGGAAAGACGTTCGCTCACCTACTTGGTCCCGACAAACTACCTCGAGCGACGAACACAGATTTTATCTGAGTAAATCGCTGGAGGTAGTACCAAATATCGGTTCTCACACTGATCGTACTGGCGAAAGATTTTGTTAGGCAGGAAACTTGAACGGTTGACAAGGTTAACCTTCACAGCCATTCTACGCGGATCATCAGTTTGCTTTTTCCTTGAGAAGCCACTGTTTACCCCCCAAGGAACCTTTTCAAGAGTCAACCACCCCCGCCACCATTGCGGAAGTACCATGGCATCTACGTCAGATGTACACGGATCCTCGCCTGTTCCAAGTCTACCACAACCCCATGATACCGGTCGCGTACACATGTCCTCCCTCTCTTCATCTTCTTCCATATCCGACGCAGAAAGTGAACGAAGGGGCCGTTCTGAACGCCCTCGAATGGCTAGTCGAAAGCCAAGTGCATCAATTCTAGTGCCTCGCGATCATCCAGAAATCGAAATCGAAGAGGAAGAATTTCCGCCCGACGACGCTCGAGCCATGAGTCCGCGTCGCAATTCCGCTGATCTGGAGCGCTTGGGCAAGGAGGCAAGACAGACCTTGCAGGAGTGAGTTTACCGATACGCCACCTACTGCGGTAATAGTACTGTGCTAATCTCTGTTTTATAATCTAGACAAGCAAAGGCACTTCAGTCCTCTCTCCAAGCTCTTGCAGAACGTATTGAGGCGGTCAAGTCCGATCATGACAAACTCGAAAGCGAGAATAAATTCCTGCAAGACTATATTGGCGGACTTACTCGCAACATGACCAAGGCCGAATTGACGAGATCGAGTACCAAAGTCAAGAGATCGCATAAATAACGCGTGCGCCAGTTTAGACCCCAGAACCGACAGGATCAGAGGCCTCGGCGATCGGGCAATAGGATGTCGCGAAGATTCATGCCCGGGGCATTCTGAATTTCGGCTTACATCGACTTCTGTCCATCTACACTCCCTCCATACCTCGATCAATACTACACCGCAACTTTACTAGCTGGATAACAGATTGCAGACTTGATGAGTCGCAGAACAGCCACTTTACCATTACGACAGTAACAGAATACCTACGCAAACGGGGTTTCAGCTGCTGCAGACCTGCAACCTACATTATTGACCCTTTTGAATGTGACATTGTTGATCTCCAATGTCGGTTGCCTTGTCGAAATTGTCTAAAGGCCCTTCAAGCGGACTCGTCTCAGCGTCGCACCTACCATTGCGCAAAAACAACAAACCTAACAAATCATGACGTTTTCAATCAAGTGGCGATCAAGCCCTCTGTACAACAACGCACTTCTTCAAACAACAAATCAAAGACTGCAGGTGATGGTGTCCGTGTGATATGCCCAAGGGAGAGAGGAAGTGTGACATCATAGCATGCCATGTGTTGCTATGGAATTCGTTCCGCCACCTTGAGTCGTGCATGATTTCCGTCTTGTCTATCCTTGCGGCTGATCTTGAGACATGCCTTACCTACAATTTGCTGCCTTGCATGGGGTTCGGATTACACCCCGTTCCTTTCACTGGCAGCCTTGACTTCATTGTCGATATTTTCACTTCTCCTTTTCTCCCCCTTTGCCTCATATTTTTCTCTCTTTCAGTTACCACGGTGGCCTAGTGTATTTTTGTGGCATAGCACGCTCGGCGTTTGGTTGTGGGATCATTAACCTAGACTTGAATGACTTTGGAGCCGCACTGGGACGCATTTGATCTCATGGTCAGCAAAAAATAGCGGGAAAGCATTTTCATGGAGCAGCCAATGAGGTTTTCATTTACTTTTCGCTTGTATATTTGTCCCGTCTAGGTCTCATGGCTGTGTTTGTTTGTTTGGCTCTGAAAGACATTTGCTTTACCATACCCAGGGGCGCACAGTTTGATTTTAGTATGAATGAATTGAGTTCAATATCAACATCTATCTTCGGCATGTTTTCACCTCAAAACGCTCACGGAATCAATCAAGCTGGCATTCTCTCCCTGGCAAGAGGCATTTATTGCACCAACCAGGCTTAAGTTCTCAGTGCCCGAGCTCATGCTTCATACTGGTGTTCCGAGGTGATCGACGCAGTATTACAAGCCAGCCACTCTAGTATTCCTGGTTTTCAACTCAGCGCCAAAGTACGAAACCCAAAACGCCACATGCCACATATCAGACTCCCACATACTAGTCAGATTTAACCGCTATAGCCAAGATCCAGTGGCGCAGATCATAATGCATGCATCGTACATACTTGTACTTAGTATAGACTTTAGTACCAGTCGTCGTAGCGTCACTAGATCATCTAGAAAACAATATCATTGCAAGAGCCAGCAGCTACTCCCATCCTCGCCAGTCGCCACAACCCAGAGACATCACAGCTGAAGCAAGCAAGGTAAACCAAGGCAAACGCCATCGACTTCGCCTTCTCGTAGGAAGGATATCAAGAAATGCACAAAACGAAACAAAGCCAAACAGAGAGGAACAATGACATCATTTACAAACGTGCACATCCTATGGCCCATAGGAAGTTGGCATCGTCATATTCTGTATATAATGGGGTTCTTTTCTACTACCCCTGATGATCTATCGTAATAGTACCTTTAGAAGGCATGACAGATGTGGCAAATGTGGCTAAGCATGGATGTTCTATATCCCCCCCTATGTAGATAATTCTTAGTGTGTACAGGGGCAGGCTGAGATTGAGGGCGGCTGGGGCACGCCGCATACGTCATGGTTTAAGGGTGTGAGGCTGAGGCTGAGGCGAGCGGCAATGGAAGTTTGCGTGAGGATTCAGGTTGATTGATCCCCTGATATGTCTCATCGGGTTGGATCATAGGGACAATAGTCAAGTGACGTTCTGCTGTGTCCATATGCCTGTCCAGATTATCGCGACGCAGAGACTGTTGGGTTAACGAGCAGCTACCAAGGAGCCAATTTCCGCTTCAGGGTAAATTTCAACTTTCTTTGAGAGCCACTGCGCCTGGGTTTAGATCTAAATTCGAGCTAAGGCGAAGAATCAAACGCCGTGCGCGGCACAAAATACGTAGATAGGGAAACCAAGACAGGATCCGTGACGACAAATCAGGACCTTCGGGGGTGTAAAAATTGGGGGAGACTTGGTGGAGAGCGCGATTCTGTAAGACAGAAAGGTATTCTTTGGGTAATTGAGGTGATAAGCAAAATTGCAAACGAGAAAATGAACAAGATGGGTAAACAAGATGAAGGACGGCGACCATGGATAGAGAGAACAAGTGCATCAAACGAGATGCCAGACAAAACTCTCAAGCAGCGCGAGGTGACTGTAGACGCGAAAAGAGGAAAAAGGGTCCAAAGATCATCACGAAATCGCATCTTCATCCCTCAGTGCCAAAATCCTCGAAGAGGTCCCCAGCCTAGAGGGCTAATAGTGACGCGAATGGGAAGATGCACTCATCCCCGTTCCTTCTCATGCGCTTCGGTTCTACTATGCGCTAACAAGCAAGCCCCTCACCCTTGTTGGTTCCATCCGCGGTCGCACGCGAATTCCTCCATCTTTCTTATTTTGTTTTTCCTTGTTTATTCAGCGGGCTTCTCGCCCTCGGCGGCAGGGGCCTCCTCCTTCTTCTCGGCAGGAGTGTTCGACTCGGCAGCGGGCTCAGCCTCAGATGAGGTCCAGAGAGTCTGAGTCCGTTAGCATATACTCCATGAGAAAATCGTCCAAAGGAAAGGTATCTTACCAGGTTGTCTCTGAGAAGCTGCATGATGAGAGTGGAGTCCTTGTAGCTCTCTTCGCTCAGGGTGTCGAGCTCTGTGGCGCGTTAGTCTTCGTGCAACTCCAATGTGTTTTATTGCGGACATAGATTTGACATACCAGCAATGGCATCATCGAAAGCGAGCTTGGCAAGGTGGCAAGCCTGGTCGGGAGAGTTGAGGATTTCGTAGTAGAAGACGGAGAAGTTAAGAGCCAATCCAAGGCGGATGGGGTGGGTGGGAGCGAGGTCGGTCTGAGCGACTTCGGTAGCGTTCTTATAAGCCTCGAGAGAGGCATCGGCGGCGGCCTTGCGGCGGTCGCCAACGGCGAACTCGGCAAGGTAACGGTGGTAGTCACCCTTCCTGTTAATTCAAAAAGATGAGAAATCAGTACAATTCCCCCCTTTCTTCGTATTCTGGCAGATAAAGAAGACGTACATCTTATGGTAGAAGACCTTGGACTCGCCGCTCGCAGCAGAGGGGATCAGGTGCTTGTCCAGAACGTCCAGGATGTCATCGCAGATCTTAGCAAGCTCGGTCTCGATCTTCTGGCGGTACTCCTTGATCAGAGCGACCTGGGACTCGTTGCCCTTCGATTCCTCCTTCTGCTCAATCGAGGTGACGATTCTCCACGACGCACGTCTGGCTCCAATGACGTTCTTGTAGGCGACGGAGAGAAGATTCCGCTCCTCGACGGTGAGCTCTACATCGGAGGAGGCGACAACCTTCATGTTCTCGACCATCTCTGAAACGAAGCTGTTAGTCCGAGAACCTCAATAAATTGGATGTTGCTTCAGATAACAAACCTTCGTAGCGCTCGGCCTGCTCGGCGAGCTTGGCCAGGTAAACAGCATCTTCGTGACCCATTGTGGAGGAGGTTCTGATCAGCACCGGCGGTTAGCAACAATTTATCGGGATGAATAAAATTAATGGTCAAAGCAGCAATCTAGTCTGGTTGTGAGGGATGTCCAAGTAGCCGTGGGATGCTTGATCGTGTGAAAAAGGGCGAGGGGCAGTATGACGGCAGTCACAGGACCGCAAGTGAGGCTGCGAAAACACGTTGGTGATTCGACGGGCGCGGAGTACAATACCCCTCCAAAAACTCTCCCATCTTGAGGCTCCCATTCGATACAATGTGGGCAAAATATCGTGTTTTGCAGCCGATTCTTTCAAAATTATGGAATCATGGCAGCTGGAAGAAGTCATGAAATATTGTTGACATTCTATGCTGCACTAGCGCTGCCTCCCCTCAGGAGAACCGTTCATATGCGTCGTTAAAAGGCCCCATTCCGACAGACATGGGAGGGGTGCGAAGTGGTCGTCAAAACAAGATCTGATCCTGCGATTACACAGTTTTGGCGATTGAATGGCCACAAATTTTCCATCTCTGCACTTCCAGACGAGATTTTTGTGCGGCTTGCAAGAGTAATGATATAAGGTGCAATGTGGTGGTGATGAGGTTGATCATCACTTGGGAAACAGTGGCTCAGGGAAAAAGGAGGGGAAAGATGCAGAAGAAAACACAGAATCTAACTCACCTAATTAAACGGCTTGATAGGAGATTTTTGAAAAACGAGAAGCAGATAAATCGAGGGAAGGAGAGCGAGGTTGTTGGAAGTTTTGGAGGTAGATATTTGGAGTTGGAAATAGAAGATGGGGGAAGGAAAGTTGAAGTGGGAGGGAAAAGAGAGAGGGAGAGACAGGGAGAAGGGGGAAGAGGGGACTAGCGGTGGTGGTGGTGGTGGTGGTAATAGTAGATAGTGGTAGGTAGGAAGCAGGAGTGTCGGCGCTGGTGCTGTTGCTGGCGCTGGCGCTGGCTCTGGTACTACTCCAGTTACTATTTGGCAGTACTCGTAATAATAATAATTAGCATGAGGCTGCTTGCTGTCTAGCTGAGAGAAGCACAACAGAATCCAAGAGAACAATGCAGTAATCTCTCTCTCCTCTCAACGACGCGTGATTTGCTGCTTGTTTTTACTATCCCTAGAGAGGGAGGCATTGTTCGGATGGTGATAAAAATTCAAAATTCTCTTCAAGATTGCTTGTCATTTTACTAATTTTACGGCTCTCTCTCAGAATTCATACAATAATCCCATTCTTCACTATAATGTCTCCTTTTCCATCGAAGCTGTCTGTCTCCCTCCCTCCTCTCTCCAGACCACCTCTTGGTCGTTTGTGTGGTTCGGTGGGCCATCCATCGTCATCCCTATTTCACATCCGCCAATCGTCCCGCGTGTATGAGAGATAGGATCCTCCTTTCGTCCTCCAAGGACTTGAATTCTTTAATTAGCCATTATGTATCTAGACTATTGATTGATCGAAGCTCCTCTGCAAACTACGTGACACCTCACTAGAGACAATCCATCAATATCATAATCCTTTATATTAGATTTCACGGTGCGAATCTGTACTGGAAGATAGCAGGACCGGATCTTAACTACCTTACTCCAGACTCTTGCTGCCTCCAGGGTACTGTTCCATGGTTATCAAGGCCATGCACCCGCAAATAAACGAGTAGTTCTCTTGGATAGATAGTGGGTAGGAATACAATAATAGTAGACTGTTGAAGTCCATTAGGAAGAGCTGCACCTCGATATTGCGCTGCTGACTATGAGCTATTGATCCCTCGCGATCCTCGTCCTCATCGCCTTTATTTTTTGGCAGGACGAGGCTTAAATTTGAATAGTTCATTTTTGGCCTTCATGAGAATCTAGAAGCGCTCAACAAAAAAAGAATGGCCTTTTGGTGTTCACCTGACCTCGCCAGACACAGATCAAGTAAGAAGGCGATTCCCACTATCCTGCACTAGTACCGACTTGGTAAGCAAGCATTTTGCGCTGACTCATACGCTATCACATGATCTAACTTATTGGGCTCATTCATGTCGTCATAGGTGATTGCCGGCCGACGGCATCATGCCCAGTCCAGGTCCGAGACTTGAAAAGCTGACTACAAGAGCTTGCATGGGTGAGCCCGGAGAGGTTGATTGACAGGCATCACTGGCAAGCTAACCCAACTGAGCTGAGAGGTACTTCGTACAATCAAGCCACCACCACCACCATCACCAACCACTCATAAAGAGCCATCTTTCCTCCTCATCATATCCTCTTGACACACATCATTTTCCATACTGTCATTTGATCACCATTTCCTACCCTTTTTTCTTCCATTCCACTCTCATATAACACCATCCATCTCAACATGCTCCGCCAATCCGTCCGTCCTCTTACAACCGCCAACCGCGCTCTCACCCGCTCCTTCTCTGCTCTTGCTCCAAGAATGGGTGAAGGCGACACCGGTGCTCCTCGTGCTGGCGGTATTCAGAGCGGGTATGTCTCTTCTCTTCCCTCTGTATTTCTCTTCCTTCGTGGTCTTCAAGGAGCTATCACCTGTCGCCTAAACGGATGACATCACTTATTCCCGACCGGAAGCTGTTGAGAGAGGGCTAACTGGGCAATCTCTCCCAGGGATTCCTTCACACGCCGGGAAGCTGCACAGGAAAGCATGTACATCCATGAGAAGGAGAAGGAGAAGTATGTTTTGCACCTTGTTTTTTGATGCCGGACTTCCGGCAATGGGTTGATGAACAGGATACTAAAACGTCCAATTGCCAGGCTCGCATCTCTCAAGAGAAAGATCCAGGAACAACAAGAGCATCTCAATGAGCTTGATAAGCATCTGTATGTCCCTCTGAATTACCTCCATTCTCTTCTATTCACACATCAAGCGACAAGTGGCTAACCTCTGTTCTACCTGCAGTGAGGAGCTGAGCCGGAACCAGGGCGGCGAGAAGAATTAAATTCGAACAACATCTACCTTACCATATCTGCACGTCTTAGAATCCAGAGGTTACTCAACGGTGTAGCCGAATCTCAACGTTGCCTTTCACATTATTATGAATGACCATGTCCACTCTTCCCATGTAATTCGTCTGACTGCCGTCTGGCCGCAAATCACAAGAATTGTCACTATCAAGAAATATCACTATCGGAAACCATGTCAAAGTCTAGCATTAAGTACTATTTGTTCAGTCCCTGAATAGCCTAATCCTACGGAACGAGGTCGCAATCGCAAGCAGTAATCGTGAGCTTGGCAATGAACTAGCTCAAATCATCTCAAAACCATGATTCCTAGCATTGAAATTACAATCGCCGTACCGATCCATCGTCTCCGATTTCCCTCGCTCTAGTAATCAGAAAACATGAATAACGAGAATCAATCACCGCCGTCCCATGTAGGAGCGATAGAAGTCATCCGCCGCGCTTCCGCCGCCCATCCCAGAGCTGCTGAATCCATGACCAAACCGGGACGACAATGTATGTCCGGACTTTTGCGCGGCGCTGACCTTAGCCTGGAGCTCGGATGTGCCCTGGTCGATAAGCTGCAGTTGAGAAAGATGCGAGTTGAGGATGCGCACGATTTGAGAAATCTAGGCAGAACCGTTAGCACAACCGTGACTGACTGAAATGATACCCTCTTAAAAGAGAACGATCATAAATGTACATACCGGTTCATCGGCCTTGTTGGTCTTGCTTAGAGTAGCCGAAGCACCATTGACTTCTTCAATCATGCTCGTCAAATCCCTGCCCATTTCGTCCAACTGCTCGGACAGTCTTTCGGCCAGTTTGTACCTATTGCCAGAATTAGCAGCTGCCATATGAATCGGTATTCAAGGAGCAACATCACATACGTTCTTTCACGTTCCTGATCCGGCCCTTGTAGGGCTTCGCCAGGTCCCACTTGTTTCGACATCATCTCATCCACCTCACGCTCATACCGATCTAACCACGAGCTAAGCTCTTCCTGCTGCCCTTCAACAGATGCGAGCTGGCGCTCAATCTCCTGCGTGGCCCGGTCGGCATCGACTGTGCTACCATAAAGTTTCTGGACCTTTGCAGTATTCTCCACCAACATACGGTCCCATTCCGCAACCTTCTCGGCCTGCTCTCGGAATTCCTTCTGGTACTTCGTCAAATCGGTAGCCCACCTCGTGATAATCTCATCCATGGTCTTGTTCTTTAGGCGAGACTGCGCCGGAGGCGTTGGGCCAACCGTTGACGCACCAAGAGCAGTACCTCCGGCCGCTGTGGTCGTCCCGGCAGCGGTTCCAGTAGTGGTGGCGGTTGTCGATGTAGACGGCCCGGAAGTCGCCGTGAGCGATGGTTTGGCACCACCAGTGGTTGCAGCGGCGCCCGCAGCAGTGCTCGGAGCCTGTGTGGAGGGTGTGGTCTCAGCAGGTTTACCGAACAGTCCGCCGGTCGCCGCCGCGGGTTGAGAAGCGGGAGCGGTGGTTGTTGTTGCCGCACCTGATTCCGCAGGCTTGGAGGCGCCCACGCCAGCAAACAGACCACCTCCAGCCGGAGCAGCCGCTGGTGTGGCTGATGGGGTTGCGGACGTAGTACCTCCAAGACTGGGGAATAGTGACTTTTGCGGAGTTTGGGATGATGTGGTCAAGGCTGTAGAGGGTTGGCTGGTCGTGGCTGTGGTAGTTGTACCGAGGGACGGGAAAGCAGGTTTCGTCCCCGAATCGGCGCCAGAGGATGGCATCTTGAAGAGTGACGAGCCTTGAGCTTGCCCGGCGGGTGCTGACGGGGCAGCTCCAAAGAGGGGTTTCGCAGCACCGTCACCGGTGGTTGTTGGGGTTGTTGATTCCGCAGGCTTGTCCTTGGCAGTATTGCCGAACAAACCACCGCCACTGGGTGCCGACGGAGTTGTTCCAAACAGTGGTTTTTGTTGAGCGTTCGATCCAAAGAGACTACCTCCGGTAGTTTGTGACTGTTGAGCCCCCCAAAAAGTGTAGGCGTCCCGCCCGTCGCGGGCGTCGTCGTGGCTGTCGGAGAGGCTGTCGATGAGGAAGTAGTAGTTGCGTTCAGTCCACCGAAAAGACCGCCTGGTTTCTGAGCTGCCTGTCCGAAAAGCGACTGTCCCTGCCCGGCGGCGGTTCCCTGTGGCGGAGGGCCAGCAGGTGTGGTGGAAGTGTTGCCGAAGAGCGAGCCTCCGGATGGCGCAGGAGTCGCTGCGGCGCCGCCGAATATATTCCCAGCAGGCTTTGCGGCGTTCCCAAAGAGAGCATTGCCACCGGTTTGCCCAGAGGCAGGAGTCTCTCCTGGTTTGGGTGTCTGCGATCCGCCGCCAAACAGGGACGGTGACTGAGGTGTGCTACCAGGCTTGTTTTGAGTTCCAAAACTAAATGCAGGCGTACTTCCGGTAGGTGTGCCGCTGTTCGCAGCACCGGTACCACCACCAAACAGGGTATTTCCCGATTTCCCCGCCGCAGGTGCCGATCCGAATAATGAGGGTGTAGAAGTGCCGCTAGAGGAAGCTCCTACATTGCCAAAGAGACCTCCTCCGGTGGTGGTGCTGGGGCTGTTCTGATTGGAACCAAAAGCGTTGCCAGCAGTTCCAAATAGACCTCCACTTGAGGCGCCGCTGGAGGCCGGCGCACCGAAAGAAAATGTGTTGGACATGACGAGAAACGTTCGCCGGGGGGAATTGTCAGGGCTGCCCTGGTGACCCGTCAGAAGGGACGCAAAGAAAAACAGCAAGTTATGATGGAGGATGCTAGGGAAAAATTAAAATGACAAACTTACTGCGCCCAGAGAAAATAAGACCTGTCAGGGCAGAATTTGCGAATGTGGTGACAATCGTTATTGAAGAAGCTTTCCTCAGTTAACAACAGGAGTAATAGCAATGGCAAGCAACGAGGAGAAGCTTGATGCTGTTAGCTGGAGTACCAGATGCTTTCTTTGGGGAGGGAAACGCGCGCTTCTACCCTAGTATTATTGGCGGCTGGCGTCTAGGCAGCTTCAGGGTTGATACCTCAGGCCAGCAGGCACATACTTTCCGGTGTGCCTAAGGCACATGGTCGAGACTCCCATAGAACCTGGTCACCGACAACAACTACATATTGATGACAACGTCACCCAAAGCAAGGCATCCCTTTCTCATCTATATTCATTATTCCCTTCCTTCAGACATCCTTCTTGCCTCTGCAGACCGGTTCTTTATGAAATACTGCCGAAAAAATTGAGTTATCTTAGATGTCGGAGCGGCTCTCCCGTCCGTCCAGTCCATATCTGGAGCCCCCGAGGAGGAGTGTCGAGTTGGAAGACTCGGGGGCTCAAGACTCAGGTAAGGGCTTTTCCAACTCTCTCGTGCTCCTGCGTAACAACTGGATTAACGTGATCAATGTGGTTTCCTCAGCACTTCCCCACAGTGATGATGAACATTTTTCAGACGCCAGCGAAGGCCACGAGCGCTCTCGTTCCCGCCCACAGTCCGGTCGCACATCCCCTATCCCGTTGACTCGAGTTGAGAGAGTGGACGATCGACCCGCACACGGTGAAATTCCCGGTACAGCTGCATATGAAAAAAGGGAACAAGACGCTGTCCCTGATGAAATTGAGATCATCCCGACGGGGTCACGTAGCAGGAGCTCGTCCACTGTGGGGTCGCAAAACCGCCCATTGACTCCCGGAGGGTCGCACATCCCTCGAACAATTGTTGAAAAGGTTGATGTAAATCAACCAAGCCATGGGGACGTCCCTGGGACGCTTGCATATGAGAAGCGTAGAGCGGACGCAGTACCAGACCTTGTCATCAAAGCGCCAGAACCGGATATCGATTCACCAGCGGATGACGCCGAATCAAACGAGCCTGAATCTGTCACCGGCACACAGGTCCCTGCAACGGTGGTCTCACAAGTAGATTCAACGGCAATTGAAGACACGACTTCCAGCCTACAGGCTCATAGGAGGCGCCCAAGTGATGCCAATCCAGATGTGATAGAGAAGATTTCAGATGCACCAGGTATGCTTCGAATCATCTTCCCGTCACAGAGAGTCTCGGGGGACCATTGACCAATTCAGATCTACCCGATTCATTATCAACAAATAGCTCCGCGCATCCAGATCACACCTCACGAAGAGGCTCGTTAACGAGTGAAAACGTCAATCATGATTCAGGTGATGTTGAGGACGACTTTGACTCTGAAGACAATGCGGAACCCGAAACTCCTCAGGATCAAGCAGCTGCGGACGACTTTGACGACTTTGCAGAAGAGCAGGATTTGGCAGATGATGACTTTGGTGACTTTGACGATGCCTTTCAAGAACCGGATGGAGAGACTGCTGAGCCCGAACCGATTGAGCCTCAGCAGCCTCTCCCGCATCCTTTAGCTGTGAGTAGTCCTCTACGAAAACTTGTCAGAAATGGCTGCAGGATCAATCGAGCCCTTTTTGCGCATATATATGCTAACATCAATTCGAATTTGCAGCCTCCCATAATAGATTTCGACACCTTCCAGTCTTTTCCCGATCTCCACGCCGCCTTGGATCAATACCTCGACAAACTCTATCCCACTTCCAAAATTGTTTCATCGCTCCCTCCTCTAGAGCCAATCCAAGATGCCTCCTCCATCTTCAGTACTGAGCGATCCCTGTCACTTTGGTCTCAGCTCGTCGCGCCGCCGCCATTGCAGCCGCAAAACTGGGTCAAGTCTCGAATTCGCCGTCTTTTCCTGGTTTCTTTGGGCGTCCCCGTTGACCTGGATGAGATACTACCGGCTTCAAAGCAAAAGAAGCTCGTGCTTCCATCTATCAATCTGAGTGGCTCAGATACTACTGGATCTGCCGTTCATTCACGCTCTCATAGTCAGGCCAGGAAAAGCGGCTCACAAGATGGCATTGACAGCCCCACAACGTCTGGTCCAGCAGCTCGGCATCGAACATCTCGTCGCCGTGACCGGTCTTCGCCACCTGAGCTGGACTTGTCGGCGGTGCGGCGACTGTGTGCCACCACCGATGCAGCACTGGACGGGCTGACCGACGCGGAGTTGAGAGCGCATGTCAAGGAACTTGAGCAAGTCACGCTTCGGGCCAGTTCTGTCCTTGAATACTGGCTGAAGCGTCGAGATGGACTAGTCAGTGAGAGGGAGGCATTTGAAGGCGTGATAGAGAACCTTGTCAATCATGCAAGGCGTGTGAGGAAGTGAAGAACTACGGTTAATATCATATAATATTGGTTTCTTTCTTGTCTCTTTTGGATACTATCTCTCGGTCGACTCTTGGGAGAAAAGCGCTCGATACCAATCATATTCTGTTCAAGGCGAGGTCGAAACCTCGCCATATCCTCTCCGCCATGGAAAACTGACTTCCTCATGAATGTTGGGTATATCTTCGCCCGAGTTCGGGTGACGATGGCCTTTTTTTTAGTCGTCAGATAGACATCGTCGAATTAAAGTATATGATATCATTAATTAATGGTGTTATCAATAGCCCAGATGCAATCCGGATGTCCATGCCTTGGAATCTCCGCATCTGCCAACCTCTGATCGGCTGGACCTTCCTCTATCCACGACCCCTGCATGTAACCCCATCCAAATACGCTTCATTTCTCCCCAATCAATGCGTTCAACGCTCTGTTATTATCGTCAAAATGTCCTCCATGCCATTGCCTCATCACTCCAAAGAAGTCACCAGCATTCACCTCACTGACACTGAAATATGCAGCCGGCAAATCAATTCTCATAATCTTCAGCGTGCCATCGAAGCTCTTCACAAGGATGGTGTTGTTATCGTGGAAAACGCAATTCCTCCTTCCTACTTGGACGTGCTCAACGCTCTCATGACTCCTGACGCTCACACACTCTACGAGAAAAGATCTACGCACCGGAACTTTGGGCCCGGAACGGGGAACATCCAGCAAGAAGTCCCCGTACAAAAGGCCATTGACCGTTTTCGCGAACAGATACTTGATGCCGAGGATGGCGAACACAAGTCGCAGAATCCATTATCGATGATCATCGCAAACCCCTTCGCCACCGCTATCATCGAGTGCATGCTAGGCCCCAAGCCGCAGCTTCGATTCCTCAGTGCAAACACGGCATTCAGGACAAAGGAGGCAGGCCGTCAGCCACCGCATATCGACGTTTCGTTTGACTTTCCCCGTGTTCCGTTCGGCTTCTGCGTAAACGTAAATCTGGTTGAGACGACAGCTACGAATGGCGCGACTGAGCTCTGGCCTGGAACGCACACCGACACTGATTTGTCGGTGCTGTTGCCTGACAATGATGGAGTGATTCGGGAGGAGCTGGTGGAGGCTCGGCGCAAGCTCCGTCCGCCGGTGCAGCCTGTATTACCCAAGGGGTCCATAATCATTCGGGACTTTAGGTTGTGGCATGCTGGGATGCCGAATTGGACGGATGAGCCGCGGGTTATGCTTGTCACTGTGTTGTTTGCGCACTGGTATAGGAGTGAGCTGAATATGAGACTCCCGGAAACTTGTAGAGGTGAGATTGAGTGGGGAGATCTAGAGCCATTTGTGGACTGGATGGGATATGATTATGATTATTTGCAGGGTTCCCATGATCATGACTTTGTTCTGCTGCCATAAGGACACCAGAGTAGTGGCTTGAATACTGAATATATAGTTCGTTCGCGAGGCACTGGGAGACAGCACGATAGTAGAAATCCGGGCCAAAGCATATGATAAAACGGTATGAAGTCAACAGAACGTCCCTAAAGTTTTATCTGTATCATTAGAAAAAAAGCTCCCTAGTATGTATCTATTTGTTGCTGTCTTCCCCAAGTTATCGATCTTGCCATGATACGCCGTACTGAAAGACCCACTGTCAACAGCTGCCAATCAAACGGCGAAAACATCGGCCCGCAAAGATTTTCTTGAAAGCATCCCAGATGCTCACCTTTACATGAACAGTTTCAACGCCTTAACCTCGCCTTAACCTCGCCTTCAATTCTGTCTGATCAGAATATTTGCCTGAGCGCTGAAAATCATTCATCTGCACTAACTCATCAGTCACGATGGGTATCGCTAAGAAGACTCGCAAGTTCGCGCAGGCAAGTCCACAAACCAACACCCTACACTAACACCCAGCCCCATTCTAACTCAAGCAACGAACAACAGGTCAAACGCGCCATCAGCCAGCGAGACAACCGCGTCAAGCAGCCCTTGAACGGCAAAAAAGAAGAGAAGAAGCCCCAAGGCGAAGAACTCACCCGACACATCCCCGTCGCTCCATCAAACATGTTCTTCGCCGCCAACACCGCCCTGGGTCCTCCCTACACCGTGCTCGTGGATACCAACTTTGTTTCACACACGATCCGCGCGAAGCTGGATATGCTGCCTGCTATGATGGATCTGTAAGACCACTGCACTCTATTTTTCATCTGACGAGCGAGACTGACATTTGTGTGGCTAGGCTGTATGCCAAGTGCATCCCAACCTTCACAGACTGCACCATTGCCGAGTTGGAGAAGCTGGGCCCGAAGTTTCGGCTGGCGCTGAGGGTCGCAAAGGATCCGAGATGGAATAGGCTGCACTGTGACCACGCTGGTACCTATGCTGATGACTGCATTGTGGACAGGGTAAGGCTGCTTTGCCCCTTCTGAATGTCATGGTTTGCAAGCGTTTTGCTAATCTTTGATTCGGCGTAATAGGTCATGAAGCACAGAATCTACACCGTCGCTACGAACGATAAGGACCTCGTGCGGCGCATCCGCAAGATACCCGGTGTGCCGATCATGAAGGTTGCCAGAGGCAAATATGTTATCGAGCGGCTACCGGACAGCTTCGACTGAGCGGCTTGAATATTCTTGCGAAAATCTCCTGTCGAGGGCGAACCACAGCGCACCGGGGAATTTATCATCTTTGCATGTCATTGCGCTGTGTCTTGAGCTTCGAGGCGGCTATCTATCATCTGAGGTTGCTACAGCGTCCCTCCCGAGGCAGTTCGAACATTTTCAGTCGAGCTGGGAGGAAACAACAGAGATGCATTACTCGGTTCACGAGGGTTGGATCAAGAGTTTGCTTTCATGCGTGTCGCTGGCCACAGCTCGATCCCATTGGCCGGCCCGCAGCCAGCAGGACCTGGCTCCCCGTCAAGGTGTATACCTTGATGCACGCAATCTCTGGGCAGGTATGGGACGGCCACAGGGGCACTGTGGTGCGCTTTTCATTTCAGATACTATTATACCCATCGCAGCGGTTGTCTTATACATGTCACCTTATGACAAATTATATCCATCTCTCTGGTTTCTCACACCAAAACTTTCTCCCGTGCGTAATGGAATGTGAATCCGCTCCCAGTTTCCACAGGCAGTTGTAAGACTACTTTGTTCCAGAAGCCTTCAAAGGCAAAGTGTAACAGTACGGCGACAAAAAATATATTTAATCTCAACGCAAGAACATGGAATTGGGGTATCTTGTGCTGTAAACCAAATCAAAAAACACCGACCAAACGCACCACCGTGCAGATGGTATACTGAAATCAAAAAGCAATCAACTCCGTTGTATGTAGAGTCAGCGGCCCCATCAAATCACCTAACTAATCAAGTTCGATGATTAAAGATGCTGAGGATTCGCGAGAAGCTAGCGATTCTCGACCAGCGCCTTCTGTCTTCGGCCTCTGAGTTGCGAGAGGTGAAACAACACCCTCACGTTTTCGTTTCAATGAGCTGCTTTCCTGTACCCGTGTAAGCTCCTTCTGAGAAGAAGTACCTTCCCCATCACTCTTGAGCTCCCAAGATCCGTCCGCCTTGATCTTTATTGCTCTTGCTCCCTCAAGACAACCCATGCGTACAAGATCGGCCCGGACTTCACCAAGAAAGCCATCGATGATCAAATGCTGAGGACGGGCGTCTGCGCCGCAGATTGGGCATTTCCAATTCTCCTTCAAGACAGCTTTACCCGCCTTCGAAGCCCTGGTCAAGATGTATGTCTCGAGATCAAAGCATTCCACGTGCTCGCAAGTCATTCCGCGAGCAGGAATGTCGAATATTCGAGCCATGAACGGGTCCACTAGATTGACACTGAGGTAGTCGCTGACAATACTTAATTCGTCGTCGGCAGTGCTGGAGGAGAGACGTCGACGAATCCGCTCACGAGCCTGGAGTGCGGGTAGGGTCTGAGCGAGCTTCTTCACTTGCGTGAAACTGAGGATATCCATGACCTCCACCGCTAACGCATATACTACGTCTCTGCTCTCTGCGGCGCTGCGGATGAAATGCAGGGAGATAGTATTGAAGCCTTCTTTTAGGTGACCACTGATGTCCAGAGGAATATCTTTGCCGTTGTGAAATTTGCGGCGAACGTAGAGTTCTACACCGTTCACAAAGATGTAAATAACACTGGGCCATACAGATTCCGTGAGGCACCAGGTATGCTGGCTCACCTCATTCACCGACGGCGAAATGCGAATACACCGCAGACGATAGATCTGACTACCATCAACCAGGGATCGCACTAGACGTTGGCCAGTATCGCGAGGCACGATTCGAGGAAGCCGGTCAAAGTCTGCTCGGGAAAGAGGAAACTGCCATTCAAAAGCAGACTCTGTCTGCCCCAAGGGAGTCGGCGGTACCGCGAACGATCTTAAGTAATGGAAGAGATTCGTCTCCTTGTCTGTCTTTTCTCCTCCTGCTCCCGAAGAAGTCCATTTGATAATGGGATCGCGGAGATGTGCTTGATGTAGGGCAAGGCGGAGAGGGTGAGGCCGTGTTGTGGTAGATGGTAGGGGCCCCGGTGGAGGAAGGAGCGGTTGTGGTATCGGCGGACTTTGCTGCGGTTGCTGCACCAGTCCTTGCGCCTGCCGTGTTTGAGCACTAAAGCGATGAATAGGAGTTGTGATTGGCATAGCGTGAGGTGAAGGCTGTGGTGGAATTTGGCGGACATTCTGAGAAGGCGGGTGCGATAGTATTCGCGCCTGATGTCCAGCAGGTGCAGGTGCAGGTGCAGGCACCGGTGAAAGAGCAGCCATGCCTGTCATCTGCCCAGCTGGCACTTGAGAGGAAGTGTCAAGCCCGCTGGCATGCACGACGTTTGGCCGTGTAGGGAGTGGATGCTGGGGTCTCTGACCATTCAGAAGCATCGGCGCGGCACGATTCATGGCACCAGGAGCATGAACAGGAATTGGTTGGGTCTGCGGTTGAGAGCTATGTACAGGTACTTGCGCGGACGGCATCTGAGGGCTTGGGGCCGCGACATATGTGATCTGCCCTGTGGGCCCGACGGACTGCATTGAGCGCTGTGGTAAGGGCTGGGCTGCGTGCTCTCGTGCCGCAGGTGAAGTATGTTGACCAACTGGCGTTGTCTGGGTGCCGGAAAGGGCCTTGTACGCCTGGATCAAACGCTCGTTCTCGCGATGAATCTGCTGCGGAGTGTGCCTGGAACCGAACCGTTTCACGTAATTCCGCTTGTTCTTGCTGTAGATACTCCGCAACTGGTCTTCATGCTGGGTGCCGAAAATCCTTCGGGACAAGGCTAGGAATACTATTGATAATAGTACGGTCGACGTTATGCCAAATTGCACGACTAATTCATCAATCAAAGGGGGATAGCCGCGCTCTCGGACATGGCGATCAAAAGCCGTCCACTTTTCGGAAAAGAAACCCAGGGAACGAGCGATCTGATGGAGAACTATTGGGAACTCGCGAGTCTGACACATCACACCCAACGGCCGAGGAAAATTAACGCTCCACCTCAAGAAGTCGCCTGATAGGCGGTGGTTGTCTACTAGAAGCTGCTGCACAACTTCCATTCCCGTCTCGTTTTGTCCGCTTACGTACGGTAACCGAGCAAATTCCGAGGGAGCAAAGGTGCGCAGGGTGTATATTTGATGGAGAGTTAGGTAGAATAGATCCTTTTCGAGACAGGCATCCCGTAGAAGACGTATCCGTGGCAGTTCCACTGTCTCTGAGAGCAGCATGGCACCCTCCGCTCTTGCCACGAAAGCATCCAGGGTCTCCTGCGACTGTGTCCAAAATGTCTGGTTGATGAAGGAAGTCGAAGGACCCGGGCCAACGGGGCTGGGAGGAACATGGTTCGAGTCGGGCGGAGCGCTGGTCATTGATGGTCGAAACTGCTGTTGTGGTTCAGGGGAGCCGGGGCTATGAACTGCTGGGGACTCGCAATCACCTGGTGTCTCTGCCGGCCTCTAATGGTGGGTGGCGCCGAAGTTTCCTCGGCCATCCTCTCCCCGCCCGCTGTGGCCGGCGATGCGTTGGCGGGCATGAGATTGCGATAGCCAATTTGCCTAGGATTTTCCAGTTGTCCGTGTATCTGCATCGGCCCGGAGACTGGCGGAGGGGATGGGAGAACGCCATAGGACAAACTTCGGTCATTCCGGTCTCCAGCGCTAGCAGGGCTAGGATGGGAGGCACTGCTTGGGTCGGGAGACGGAAGTGAGGAGGACTGTGACTGCTGCAGCGGTTGAGTTGCATGGACGAACGCCGTTGACTCAGTTGTCAAAGGGGTAGAGCTGAAATTCGTGGTAGGTGTTGTGGTAAACACGCGAGGGCTTGGCGGTAGCCCAGGACAGGGTGGTGGAATTTCGCGATTTTGCGGAAGGATTCTCCCGGGCGTCACGGGTGACATTAAGACTGACGGCAGGGACGTAGCAGGAGCATAGATGATGTTACCGTTGGCAGTGAAGGCGACATCATTATTATCTCTTTTGCTCTGACTCTGCGGGACGATTGTGACGGAGGATGAAGGGGAGTTTTGCATGCCTTGTGGCCGGCTTTTGGGTCGGTTGGCAACGGCAGAGGCAGAGGCAGAAGACGGAGCCGAGACAACAGCAAGTGAAGACTGGGAGGATGAATCGGGAGGGACGGTAGCAGCAGCAGCAGCAGGAGCAGGAGCAGCTGCAGAAGCAGAGCTGATTGACAAGGAAGTTGAAGCACCCAACATCCACGATCTCCGCACCCCAACACCGCCCAGGAATAAGTTTGCCGTTGAATTGGACCATTCCAGCTGGTGATGCGGATTATTAGGTAAGTGCGGTCGATTCTTGGTGGTTGAAGGACTCATGGTGAAGGGCAAACATGGTTTATTGTTTCCCCTAAAGCGATGAATCCTTTTTCTTTGGTTATGGTTTTTTTTTTGGCTTTATTTCTATCAAAGAGAATAAAACAACAAGTAGGAATCGTCCTTGTGGTAGATTAACAGCGCGGAGGTGTATTTATCTGCGATCCTCTCACTGTTTGTTGTTGTCCATGCAGATCCAAGGAAACGCCGTCTGTTCCAGGACCAACTGGGATGGTGATATGAGTGTCTGCACAGGGATCTAGAGATTCAACAAAGAGGGAAATATAGAAGTATTTAACCTAGGTGAAATACTTACAAGAGCTGGGGCGGGGTTTAGTCTTATAATAGAATAAAGGAAAGGGTGATAGATGAATAAGGAAGGGTGGATGGTAAGGTAGTGACTACCAAAGGTACTGAATATAGAGCTATATGTAGGGTAATCACTTCCTATTCACTATTAACTCACAGGTGTCAGAAAAGTGATAGCTATTAAAAGTGAAAGAAAGAAGTTCTAGAATCACAATATGATCAACATCTTAATGCTTATATTCTATCTATCCACTCACTTCCTTTACTGTACCTCTGTGGCAATATCACTATGGAAACACTCCTTCCAACGCACTTTCAAAGGTACCTGCAGAGGGATCTCGGGCAAATACAGGCATAATACAAATATCCATACGCTGTACGAAGTAGACTGCTGCATAAGCATGTCCTTTATATAGGTATATAGGGGCAGACAGACTGTGCTCACAGTCCAAAAATCAAGAATGATAGATACAGGATTCTACAAGTATGCTAGGTAGCCATTCAAGTATTATGTAGTTCGAAGGGACCAGTCTACTCCGTACCGAGGGCACTCTACCCTCAGACCCCTAGACCGACCAGAGTTCTATCCAAGGGTTAGACTATATTACAAACCCTCGCTTCCCATCATAGCCTGGGATGCATCGATAAATCAAATGTGGACCAATCGAATTGCCTTATATACGAGTCTCGAGGGCCTTGTATTCAGTCCAATCGGTGATGCTTTTACAGATGCTGGGTTGATATCTTAGACAGCATGTAATAATAATCATTTAAACGCTGACTGTCGAAGATAGCTGTCTGACATCCTCTCATTTGGATACGTAGTATCAAGGCTGATT